GAAACCAATGGCCCCATTGAAACCAATGAGGGCCCACAGAATCACAGAATTGTGGGGGTTGGAAGGGACCTCCAGAGCTCATCGAGTCCAACCCCCTGCCAAAGCAGTTCCCTACAGCAGGTCGCACAGGTCGGCGTCCAGGCAGGTCTTGAACATCTCCAGAGGAGACTCCACCACCTCCCTGGGCAGCCTGTTCCATGTAAGGGCTGCCCTAACCCTAAAGATCTATAAGTATTTGTAAATGTGAGCGTGGTTAATTTGTCCTCCAGGACACAGACAGTGAGAGACCTTTGTTTCACACATCTATACAGCGAGCATGTAGGAAGAGGGCACTAGTAAAGGCAGCGAGTGCAGACGAAAAAAACCAAAGCATTAAGTGGTTTGATCATTGAAACTTGAAAAAAGGCCCAGCTGCTCAATGCTTTTGGTTTAATTAAAATAACTGCATACACATAAACGCAAGTTGAGTTTTGAAAGGTAGTTCTTGATGCAGCTATGGAGCAGCTGATTGCAGGCACTGAAAAAATGCTTTGCACGTGCGATTTCTTTTTTAGCCTCTTAGACTGCGGCGTCTTGGAAATGCACCGGATGTCCTGCTGCGGGTTTGTGTGCAAGATCATCTGCAAGATGATGACGACCTGCAAGATCATCCAGTCCAACCCCCCTCCCATTGCTATCAGTACCACCAGCACTAACCCACATCTCGCAGCTCCTCATCCAGGCGCCTCTTGAACGCTGCCAGGGACGGCGCCTCCACCACCTCCCTGGGCAGCCATTGCAGTGCCTGACCACTGAGAGAAAACGTTTCTCCTAATGTCCAACCTAAACCTCCTCTGGTACAACTTCTGGCCATTTCCTCAGCTCCTACTATTTGCCTGAGAGAAGAGGCCAGACCCTTTGACACCACAACCTCCCTTCATGCAGTTGTAAAGTGCAGTGAGGTCTCCCCTGAGCTCCTCTTCTCCATGCTGAACAATCCCAGCTCCCTCAGCCGCTCCTCGTAAGACTTGTGCTCCAGACCCCTCAACATTTCATTGCCCTTCTCTGCACACGTTCCAGGCCCTCAATGTCTTTCTTGTAGTGAGGAGCCCAAAACTGAACACAGCACTCGAGGTGTGGCCTCACCAGTGCTGAGAGTACAGGGGATGCTCACCTCCCTGCTCCTGCTTGCTGCACCATTTCTAATGCAGGCCAGGATGCTGTTGGCCCTTTTGGCCACCTGGGCACACTGCTGGCTCATGTTCAGCCGAGCATCAACCAACAGTCCCAGGTGTTTGAGGGCCACAAAGATGGTGAAGGGCCTGAAGCATCTCCCCTATGAAGAAAGGCTGAGTGAACTGGGTCTGTTCAGCCTTGAGAAAAGAAGACTGAGAGGGGACCTGATCCAGGTCTATAAGTATGTAAGGTGTGGGGGGCAGAATGGCGAGGCCAGACTCTTTTCAGTGTTGAGTGGAGACAGGACAAGGGGAAACGGCCGGAAACTGCAGCACAGGAAGTTCTGCACCAATGTGCGAAGGAACTTCTGTACAGTGAGGTGACGGAGCACTGGAACAGGCTGCCCAGGGAGGTGGGGGAGTCTCCTCCTCTGGAGATGTTCAAGACCTGCCTGGACGCCAACCTGTGTGACCTGGTATAGGGAACCTGATTTGGCAGGGGGTTGGACTCGATGAGCTCTGGAGGTCCCTTCCAAACCCTACAGTTCTGTGATTCTGTATGTTGGTGTTTGAGCTACGAGATGTGGTTTAGTAGCTTGTGGTACTGATAGGAATGGGAGAGGGTTGGACTGGATGATCTTGCAGGTCGTTTCCAACCTTATGATTCTGTGTGATTCTGTGTCCCTTTCCTCTTCACACTCACAGCCACTCATCCCCAAGCCTCTGTGCTGCATGGGGTTGTTGTGCCCAAATACAGGACCCGGCACTTGGCCTTGTTGAACCTTCACCTCGGCCCAGCGATCCAGCTGATCCAGATCCTCTGCAGGGCCTCCCTGCCCTCAGGCAGATCCACACCACCTCCCATCTCGGTGCCATCTGCAGACTCACTCAGGGTGCACTCAATGCCTTCATCTGAGTCATCAATGAAGATATTAAACAGGATGGGCCCCAACACCGACCCCTGGGGGACATCACTTGTAACAGGTCTCCAGCTGGATTTCACTCCACTGACCACCATTGAGCACAGCCCTCCAGCCAGTTCCTCATCCAACGGAGGGTAAAACTGCCCAAGCCATGGGCAGCCATTTTCCGCAGAAGGATACCATGAGAGACCGTGCCAAAGGCTGTGCTGAAGTCTAGGTAGGCTGCATCAACAGCCCTTCCCTCATCCACCAGCCTGGTCCCCCACCCGTACAAAGAGATGAGGTTGGTCAAACACTGCCTGCCTTTCATGAAGCCCTGCTGGCTGGGCCGGATCCCATGGATGTCGCGCACGAACCGTGAGATCTGTGCCAGCAGGATTTGTTCCATCGCCTTCCCTGGCACTGATGTCAGGCTGACAGGCCTGTAGTTCCCCGGATCCTCCTTACAGCCCTTCTTGTAGATGGGAGTCACATCAGCAAGCCTCCGATCCTCTGGGATCTCACCAGTCAACCAGGAGCGCTGGTAGATAGCCGAGAGCGGCTCAGCAATCACCGCTGCCAGCTCCCTCAGCACCCTAGGATGAAGCTCTTCCCCTCTGCAGGGTGCCGTCAGGATGCTCCTGGGGATGTCTGCTACCAACAGGGGCATGCAGCGCTCCCTACCTGGAAGGCGAGCACAAAGATCACAGGATCATTAAGGTCCTCCTCCTCCTCCAAGCTCATCCAGCCCTACTGTCCCCCTGCCATCAATATTTGCAGTGCTGTCAGTCATTCCTTCCGCCTACCCTGGAAAACTCTCCTGTAGAGCCTGCTTGCTTGCCCTGGGTGAATTTGGAAGGATCAACATTAGAAGCCAACAGAGAGCCTGGCCAGCAGGCAGGGATAATAGCACAAACAAGCTGTTTGAAGCCCAAAATTCTGATGATGAAACACTAGATGATTAGCAAAGTGATTTTACCCCGTCTGCAACAAATGCACTCGTTTGCACGAAGAGTGCTGTGGACGTAGACGAGCTGGAACAAAAGCACAGAGACAGGGCAGTTCTCCTCTTTGAAGTAGAGATGGTAATTAGTTTGCATTTCTGTACGTGATGGCTTTAAAATGCTGAACACTGAGCGAGTGTAACTCCTCTGCAGGGTTCCACCTCTTGTGTGACACACAAACTGTTGGATCTCCTTTAGATCAACAGGATTTTCTTGCTGTCTTTATGCCTGCATCATCCCCTCCCCCCCCATGAAACCGC